TGTGCCGTGGTGCTTTTTTTATTTAGGTAAGTGCTGTGGGGCAAAAAAGGTTAGCAATAAGAAACCTGAATAGAGGGGCTCATTCACTAGTGCTGTCAAGCCAGCAGCTTTTGCAAAGCAATGAACTTCAAATGCGGGGGATATATAGCTGGCTTGAAATACTCTTTTTTTGTGGTACACAATTATCTTTTTGGGAAGAGGTTGGATTAAAAATTTAAGATAAATGTATATGTGTTTTTGTCAGTACTAGATTTCTTTTTCCTTTGGGTCTATGCTTTAGTTTTAATAATCACAACTGCATTTTCTGCAGCACAAAAGGTTGACAGTAAAACTGACTAGTTTATTTTCATCATTAAAAGCTGAGTGCAATGTTAAAAAATAGTAAACAGTGTAACTAGTAAAGTAAATTGTACATCCTGACTGCCACTTGTTTGCATTATAGGTTTTTCCTTTGATTAGATTCATCTTGTATATAGACTCTTCCCCCTACTCCTTGCAGGATCCCATTATTTCCTGTTTTGCAGGGAATAAGCAGATAATGCCATCACCATGATTATTTTTATTGCCATGGTTTGGTGTGAATCTTCATAGGATAAAATGAGAATGTTTCTCTTGTATGAATCCTTGGTATCATTCACTACTGAGTCACTACACTTATTATTTGAATAACAGCTGTGAATGTCAACTCATATAGTCTCTCCTGTATGGACAGTAAAGGTCCCATAGTATCTTTCCCATAGGAAAATAGTTGTTTGCCTTGGTGTTATTGGTCAGGATTTCTGCTCCTCAGCATTCATGTGCAGTTGGTTGTTACCCTTTGCCTCTGAGGTAGCTGAATATTAGTAATGCTGTGTATGTATATAGCTTGTAAAATTCTTCAAGATGGAAGGTTTTATTGAAATATAAATGCACTTTGTTTTATTATATTGGGAGATGCAAGTCACAGTGTCTTTATATACCATCATATTATCAGGTGATAATTTTAGCTGATATGAAACATTTGTATTATAGATTCTGATTTTTTTCCTTTCCTTCTAAAAATGCAGGAATACTCTGAAGATAGTAACTCTGAGCCAAATGTGGATCTGGAAAATCAGTACTACAATTCCAAAGCTTTGAAGGAGGATGATCCCAAAGCAGCGTTGAGCAGTTTTCAGAAGGTTTTTTTGCTTTACATTCTACCTTTTTTTATATTGGTACTGAACATTTCAAATTACATTTTATCTGCTATAAAAATGTGTGCTTATACTTAAACATCAGTATATTTGTTACAGAAGATGGATTACTAATCTTCACTGATATTATCATGAGGTTTTTTCCAGGACGTTTGAAATTATTCTTTTAGCAATACAGCTTATTAATGCAGAAGAAGATGAATAAGTCTTCATTCTTAGGCTGCTTGACTCCCTGTCTGCTTTAAAGTACAATAATAGACCATATGTTATTTTTAGTTCTATAGTGCAGCTGAAGCTTTTACTTCTTGTGACTCTGTTAAGCTAACTAAACAGTTGTAAATACATTTTTATTTATCAGGTGTAGAAACCAAATTCAGTTTCTTTAACTGAAAAAAAACCCAACATTTTTTCTATATCTTATTCAAGGCACTGTTTGCCATACCCAAGGCACCCATCTGTATCTTTTGTGAATGGGGCTGCACCCCATTTCAGAAACGAATTTGTTTATTACAGTGCTACCTCCTTGCAGAGGGGTTGAGGAATGGGAGAGCCTGAGCCTGCCTTCAGCTGGTTTACTCCTCACACCTGGAGCCTGATCTTGCCCTAAGCTGCTTATCTTCTCACAATTCCTGTGTCACTCTCCAAAGGATCTAACAGCACCTCAGAGTGCTCTGGAACCTGGTTGAGCATCACTGTCTTGCATAGTAATGTTCACTACAGATCTGGGCAAAAAACTTAAAATGCTAACTGGCAGAAATATTTGCCATTCATGTGAATTTTAAACTCTTAATGTCACCAAAAACGAGTGTGTTAAGCATGATCTTTAAAGAGAGAAATATTGAGATTTTTCTATTTTGGGCTTCTTTTAAATGCATATAAAAGCACCTGAAACTTTTATTTTGTTTTTCAATCCTCCTTTTTCACTAGATTAGAAATTAAGATCTTGTTGTTTAATGCTAACTTATAATAAATAAAGAACTAATGACATATGACATCACATGGCAAGAAGGATACTTTGAGCCATTCAGAAAATAGGATTTTTTTAGTGGGGTTTTGTTTTGTTTTTTACCTCTGATTCTTTTCCTATTTTATCATTAATGGCTTATGACAGACATTTTGAAATATGAAATTATTTTCTAAAGATCCAACAACTTTAACTATAAGTTAAGGTAAATGTGATCTAAGAGCATTGTATACCAAGATAAAAACTGCTCTAGAAAGTCATGGAAGATCAAAGTTTGTCCCTTTCCAACACCGAAAATAAGCAGGAAAAAGTATCTTAAACCTTTTTATAATCTATTCATTTATTTTTTTTGAAGAGCACAAGTTCATTTCTGTTAGATTGAAAAAATGCAGTATTTAATAAAAATGACATGCACCAATGTCATGTTTATAAATATTGGGTTGTGGAAATTTTTCTTTCTTTCCTATTTCAGGTTTTGGAGCTTGAAGGTGAAAAAGGAGAATGGGGATTCAAGGCTCTGAAACAGATGATCAAAATAAACTTTAAATTGGTAAGAGCAGATAAATTGCACTAATATGGGGTTGATCCACAGTTATTGAATTGTCTTCCTTTCCTCCATATGTCTATCCACAAAGGAGAGCTAAGAACACACACAACACTTTTCTAATATTAGCCATATAAGTGAGTGTTATTGTTGCTATGAGAATATTATATGGTCGCAAAAGAGACTAAGGTATTGTGCACAATCCCCCAGAAAGAGGAAGTGTCCAGAAAACAATCTCTGTATATTAAAGTATAATTCTCATTTTGAAGAAGTTTGCAGAATAATCCCAGCTGCTTTTCTTCATCCTTCCACCTTCTGAGGCTCAGGCTGACTGCATGCGCATCTGTTAGATAAAATGTTAAATATAAGATTGACACACAGCTTTTTAAAAGAACTAAGGGCTTACACTGCACAGACCAAACTTGTTTTTTTTAGAAAGCTGTGGTTTTACAAATTTGTTTTAAAAAATGTCTCATGAGATCTTGTATATCAAGTTTAGCCAAGAGTATTTTTTGAAATTTTTTGTAAAGTAGGTTTTGAATAGTACAGTACAGTGTTCACATTCCAGTATGCAGTAAGGACTATTAACACTGTGGCATGTGAAACATTATTAATTTAGAATGTGTTATTAGCAACTATTTTTGCATCACATATGGCCGTGCTTTCAAACTTACCTGTTTCTCAAATATGGTGAACATTCTAAACCTGTACTCCAGGAAGTCCTGCCTGACTCGGTATTAATTCTGCTACTGATCCTTAATCCTGACAAAAAAATTTATAGTGATAGCTGATACGCAAACCTACTACAATGCTATAGCTTGCATGACCATATTGATAAGATCTTATCTCACGTTTTAATATACATTTTTAATTATTCCAAATGATATACTTCCTTACAGACTAACTTTCCTGAAATGATGAACAGATATAAACAACTATTGACCTACATACGGAGTGCAGTTACAAGGAATTACTCTGAAAAATCCATCAATTCTATTCTCGATTATATCTCCACTTCCAAACAGGTTAGATCATCAGTCCTTTCATGTTGGTGGTTCTCCTCCTATCAGTTGTACTTATGATAACTGCATTTCAAAGTTTATCTCAGAAACATTGTCTATCTTTTAGACTAGTAGCCTAATCAAAGCAGAAATGTTATGGCCAGGTGCCCGGTCCAGTTCCATTCCCTTTGTGCTGCTAGAGCAGCATATTAAAAGGAACAGAAAACTTCCCTATGCCTTTGTGTAGGTGTGGAGAATCACCAGTGCTTAGAGTGGATTCCTTTACTTTCCTCAAGACAGTTCCTCGTGTCCTACAGCACAGAGAAGTAGGGGAAGGAAACTAAGCATGATGCACTCTGGCATCAGTTTGGCACATATTGGTACAGTTGACAGTAATTTAGACTAAATAATGTAAAATTCAGGACTGGAGGGAGCCAGCAGATCCTTACTCTCAGCCTTAAATTCACAGGTTCCAAATCTGAACTGTCAGCAAACAATTGGGGCTACAAAATATGCATAAAAGTCTCTGTAAACTTTCTGCACAGCATTTTTCTGAAAGATCAGATTAGTAACTCCTTTGCGTGCCCATTTGGGTGTTACAGTAACTGGCTGCAATTTCTATATTGACGAAGAATGGAAGACTTCAAAACTTTAACATTTTTAAATTTGGTTCTCCTTTGGCTGCTTCTAAATGATTTTGCGAGTTCAGAAGTCTCTTCCAATCTTCTATTTTAGAATTACGTTGCTTTTTATATATATATATATATATATATATATATATATATACACACATACACACACACACACACACATACCTCTTCTATACAGAAAGAAAGCAAAGTGAAGTTTTGTTATTTTAATTGCAATTTTTGCAGTACTGTTCAATAAGATTTAGGTTTCTGTTTCTTATTTGTATTGAAGTTCAAACATGCACTTTTAGTTTGTTCAAACTGACTTCATTAACAGGTACAAATTTGCTGTTTACAATTATAGAATTCTGATTTTTTATGTCAGATGGATTTGCTTCAGGAATTCTATGAAACAACACTTGAAGCACTGAAAGATGCTAAAAATGACAGATTGTGGTTTAAGACAAACACAAAGGTAAAATATAAATACATATTTTAAATACTTTTAGCTTGCTATAACCTTCTTAAGCTGTCACTCATAGATTCTAAAATCCTAATGAACTTAAAGACTTAATATTTTTTAATTACAGCTTGGCAAATTATATTTAGAACGAGAAGAATATGGAAAATTACAGAAGATTTTGCGCCAGCTGCATCAATCATGCCAGGTACAGCATATGGGTATTTTCTAAAAATGCTTTTGCAGCCCTAAGACATCTTTAAAAACCATCACTGTAGCTTAATATGCAATAATATATTTTCCCTCCATATTTTGGACTGTAAGTGTGTTATATATACTGATCTTTGTAAATAGAAATGATGTGTAATGTACATGTTAAGCCTGTGCTACTGGCTGGTCTGGGTGAGAGCCAGAATCAAAGCTGCCACACTGAATAAGTGGGGGTGGCAAGTGGCTGAAGAGGAGGTGGGCACCAGGAGGGGAAAGCAGCTTTAGGGGCTGGCATTGTAGGGGGAGCGGGGAGGAATGACAGTCAGCAGCAGGGACAGGCCACTTGCTCCCCTGCTGCTGCTTTCCCCACCAGAGTGATGGAGGGGGTGAATATAAGACAACCCTCCAATGATTCGATTCTATGCATGAAAAATTTTAAATTAAAAGTTGTCTTGGTTTTGAGTAAATATGGTAAATTGAGATGGGTCACTTTTAGGCTAGGTACAGATGTTCAAAAAGCCCAAAGCAGAATCGATCCAAGTTACGTGGTTTTCTGTAAGCAGCATAGTTTAGATGAGTAGTGAACAGAATACACACCCACCTTTTGGTGGGAGGCGGGGAGCAAATCTTATCCTGGGTTCTGCCATTTTTAAACAAGTATGTGTGCGCTCCAAACTTCTGTTCTGTTATAGGTATAGACCGGTTTCAGCTCACTTATACCAGTAAAAGCGTAATGTACCTGGCTTTAAAGATCTGATATATGCAAGGAGCCAAATTCAGAAGTACTTACTGAAGCAAGACTCAGTGGGTGTCTTTACATATGATTCGGTGGAGGCAGCGTCTCTTAGGAGCCGCTCTAATTAAAGCGCCCACAGCATCTTGTGTATTCAGCATCTTACGCTTCAAAATGATGGCAGGGGCACTTTAAAGTTCATTCAGTGAGCTTTAGTTTCATAGATTTCATAGACATCAGGGCTGGAAGGGACCTCGGAAAATCATCGAGTCCAGCCCCCCTCCCAAAGGGCAGGACTCGATGATTTTCCATAGGATCCCAGCAAGATAAGCATCCAGTTTCATCTTGAAGGTGTTCAATGAAGGCGCTTGAACCACCTCCGGTGGCAGGCTGTTCCAGACCTTGGGGGCTCGGACAGTAAAGAAATTCTTCCTTATGTCCAGCCTGAAACGATCTTGAAGTAGTTTGTGACCATTCGACCTCGTCATCCCTTGGGGCGCTCTGGTGAACAAACGTTCCCCCAGATGCTGGTGGTCACCCCTGATAAACTTGTAGGTGGCCATCAGATCACCCCTGAGCCTGCGCTTTTTCAGGCTAAAGAGCCCCAGGGCTCTCAGCCTGTCATCGTAGGGTCTGCTTCCCTGACCTCTGATCATGCGCGTGGCTCTTCTCTGGACTCTCTCAAGCTTCTCCACATCGTTTTTGAATTGTGGAGCCCAAAACTGGACACAGTACTCCAGCTGCGGCCTCACTAAGGCCGAGTACAGGGGGAGAATGACGTCCCGGGATTTGCTTGAGAAGCATCTATGGATGCAAGCCAGCGTTTTGGTCGCTTTACTAGCCGCCGCATCGCATTGCAGGATCATGTTCATCTTGTGGTCAATGATGACCCCCAAGTCTCTTTCTTCCATAGTGCTAGCCAACATAGCACTGCCGAGCCTATAAGGATGCTGCGGGTTTTTTTTCCCAAGGTGGAGAACCTTGCATTTATCGGCGTTGAACACCATCAGATTCTCGTCCGCCCACTTGCTGAGCCTGTCCAGGTCAGCCTGGATAACCTGCCTGTCTTCTGGTGTGGATGCTTTGCCCCAAAGTTTGGTGTCATCGGCGAACTTGGCCAGTCCGCTTCTGACTCCAGTGTCCACATCATTAATGAAGATGTTGAACGGTATGGGGCCAAGGACAGAGCCTTGGGGGACCCCACTGGTCATAGGACACCACGATGAGTGACTTCCATCAATTACTACCCTCTGGGTCTGACCCCGGAGCCAATTTTCCAGCCAGTGGATCGTGGAGGACCCAAGGCGACAATTGGCCAGTTTCTCCAGGAGGCGATCATGGGACAATGATCCCATGTTATTGTTAAAGCGCCCCTGCCACCATTTTGAAGCATGGGGACGAGGAATACACGAGACACCAAGGCTGTTGGAACATGCTGATTAGCATGCTCAATTAAATACGTCTGCTCAAAGACGCTGTAATTACAGTGTATCAAAGTAAACATCCTGCATGTCTACAGGCACCCAATATTTTTGCTTAAGTGAAAGGCTAGGCCAAGTTCTGAAGTTTGTTTTAATTTCACTGGATGCATGTAAATATGGCGTTTGGAGATGTCTTTATTTGTGGCAGGGGATTTTTGAGAACATTTAAGGTATAATGCTGATCCTACCATTTTTACCAGATTTCACAGTGTTCATTACTTTTAATCTTTCCTAGACTGATGATGGAGAAGATGATTTAAAAAAGGGCACTCAGCTATTGGAAATCTATGCTTTGGAAATTCAAATGTATACAGCACAGAAAAATAACAAAAAACTTAAAGCACTATATGAACAGTCATTGCACATCAAGTCTGCCATTCCTCATCCACTGATCATGGGAGTCATCAGAGGCAGGTTTTTTTTTTCATATAACCTTAGTTTAATTTCTACTGTACAAACCATTTTTACTTCAGTTTTAAAGTAACTAAGATCTATTTGTTATTTCATTTGAGAATGTGTCATAGAAAATTCTTAATCTCTTTGTTGAAATGTGTTGATAACTAAACAGCTTTAAGATGTTCTGGAAATTATCTATCTGCTACTCAATAAAAGGTGAGGTGAGTTATAGTGAAGACTTATACCATGTCTGAAAGCACTTTTTACCAGATTCTCTTATCTGTTGCTGCCTCTGCTGGCAAAAGCACCTAGGCAGAACACCAGCCAATTGTGTGTACTGAAGCAATAAAAAGAAACCATATTTCTCATTTGAGGTTTTACTCAATATGGTGGATGGCTCTCAAGTATATAGTGCTGTTATATATTCTTTTGAAGTTTGTTGTTGGGTAAATCCTGTGTGAGTAAATGTATGTAAAGTCCTTTTAACTTAAAGATAAAATAACTGTTGGGTGCAGGGGACAGTGTTCCCTTGTATGCATTATGAGATCTCGATTTGGAAATCCAAATGGGAAGGAACAGCTTTATATTGAAGTCCTAATGCATGACTTAATGATTTCAGGCAGAAAACAGGGAGGGTGGCACCTTATAAACAAACTCATTCAGAGAGGCATAAGCTTTCATGAGCTACAGCCAGCTTTTGTCAGATGTTATCAATGTACTTTCAGAAATCGGAAGGAATGAGTTGCCTTATTCTTTGTTTAGTACCCCTGCTATGTGGAAGTCCATTCATAGCATCCGATAAAGTCAGCTATAGCCTACAAAAACTCTTGCTTCTCTGAACAGGTAATCTATAAGGTGCCACCCTGCTCTGCCTTCCGCCTAACTTCAGACCAACATAGATAACTACCTCTCTTTTAGTGCATGAGGAGAAGCACCTGAAAATATTTTCAGAAAGCAATTTAAAAATACTTTGATACATTTAGGAGAATAGTTTTGTTCAAGGCATACTATATACCTTTTTTCATCATTGTTTTCTTTCCAGAATGTGGAGGCAAAATGCACTTACGAGAAGGAGAATTTGAAAAGGCACACACTGACTTCTTTGAAGCATTCAAGAATTATGATGAATCAGGGAGTCCTAGAAGAACCACTTGCTTAAAATATTTGGTCCTAGCAAACATGCTGATGAAGTCTGGAATAAACCCATTTGACTCTCAGGAGGTATATTTAGAAATATGAACAAGTCAGTTCAGTTGCTGTTTTTCTAGTTTGAGTATGGAAATTGCAACAAAAAAAAAAAAAAGAAGAAAGTTTTTTCTAGTATCTAAACATACTCTGATTTGTTTTGTCTTTAGGCTAAACCATACAAAAATGATCCAGAAATTCTAGCAATGACAAATTTAGTAAGGTAAGTTTTTTGGCATTTTTTTTTTATCTTGGGGCAAAGCTCAGACTATGTAATAGGTAGTTTGTGAAGGTAGTTTGATTTTATTTTTTTATAATGCAATCCAATTTTTTTCTATAAATACCCAGCAAGTTTTATTTCTGGATTTTTTTTCTTTTATTGCAAAGAATTTTCTATTTAGTGCTATCCAGAAAGCTTTATCTGCTGTATCTTTTTTGAATGCATTAAAAGAAAAATACCCCTTATTATCTGTAAAAACATAAATAAATAAAAAGATCTACAACCATTACAAATTATCTTTTTTTTCCTTCAAGGGAAATACCTTCTAAATACCCTAATTTGTGTTTTTGAGTCATGCAACTTTTTTTATGCCAAACTAGAGTGTGAACCAAAAAAAATGTTTAAAATGTGAACATGTTGCAGAGGTCACATGTATCTACTGCTTTATGGCTAAATATTTGCTGTTATTATTGGGTGAAAATGTATTTGAAACCTCATATTGAGAATAAGAATATTTCTATTTATTATAAAACTAAAATAATGCCCTTAAAACCAACACGCAAATAGAAAACTAGCAATGCTCTTACAATTCACCTTTTATATTAAAGTAACACTTGCATGTTTTTTTTCTTAGAGAAGTTCAGTAGATGTTGCATAATAGTAGCAGCCAATTAATTGCTAATCCTGGAACCAAATAAATTTTTCGTGACTGCTCAGTCATTGTTTCAAGACAGTCAGGGTTTCCAGGATGGTGTGAATTGGCTGTGATAATTCGCATTTAGTTATTTAGGGCCCAGTTTGCAGAGTTATTGTTTATTGTTCACCTGGAATTCTAATTGAGGTTAGCAGGAGCTGAAAGTACTCCAAACCTCTGAAAAACAAGCTTTTTAGTCCTTCCTTGAGTTTTTATCTGGAGTTATATATATCAGGTGCATGATTGGAGGCATTGATCTAAAGAATTTTCACACATCTGGCCATGCTTTCTAAAGAAGTTTTGTGGTAATAGGATTCTCAAGTGAACTCTTGAGTCTTGTAACTTGTATTATCCAAATCACGCTACATGACAGAATGTGAAGTCAGCAGCTCCCCACCTGGCTGTCCTCCTCTTCGGGCCTCCACAGCCCAGCGGGCAGGGCAGGGCAGGGAAGTTGTTGCCACTGTTGGGAATTCCATGCTGCCCTGAAGAGACGCCAGCTGCCCACCTGGCAGCAGCAAGGGGCACAACTCTGCGCCACCACCCCTGCTGCTGCCGGGCGGGCAGGGGGCAACTCGCCCCGGTGGTGCAGGGCTTGCAGCAGCAGCACCGAGCTGCCCTGCCCCACTTTTCCCTGCCATGCCAGGTCCCGCCCGCTGGTCTGCGGAGGCCCTGTGGGGGAGGGTAGCAGGGTAGGGAGCCTGACCCCATGGCAGATCTGGGGGGCATGCACAAGCCGTCCAGGGCTCTGTCCCACTCCCTGCTCAGGCCCTGCGGCCACACGTTCCAGTCCCACATGCCGCCCTAGGTGGGCTTCAACTCCAGCCCCAGTCCCAGCCCTGCCCAGCTCCCTCCTTCCCTCCCTCACTGGGGGTCTCAGTTCTGTCCCCCTCTCTTGCCCCCAGCCCTAAATGATGCCGTGATGCCTCTTCTATTGAAAGATTGATGATCAGTCTTGGCTTCCTCTCTGCTCAACCTTTTCTCAAGTGCCAGGAGAGAGGAAAAATGTAGCACAGATATAATTATCATATTAAAAGTAAATCACAAATGATCTTAAAAAACTGCAGAATTTACGAAGACATTAAGTCGCAAGTATTTTTCTTGCTGCCTGTATTTCCATATGCTGCTATATAAGGAAAAATGTCCCAATAGCACTAGAAATAAGCCTTGGTCGCTCAAGATTACACTGTATAAACGTGGAAAACAATTCTCACTTCTTTTGAATTAAGTAATCAAACAGTTCCCCTTTTAAAATTCATTTGGCATGTAAAATATAATAACAAGCCTTCAGTAAACAAAGAGAGTAGAGAAAACTACTGAGATTGGCTATTTAGTATTTTTTAAATGATAATTTTTTCCAAATACAAATAAAGATCAATTCATAATAATAAAAGAACAACATATTAATAATAAGCTGTGAAAACTAACCAAAAAACCCCCCCAAAATAATGAAACTGTACATACGTTTTCAACATCCTCTTATTTGAAATGTACTCAGTTTATACTGACTTTACAGCTTGTAAATATAATGGTAATTTCTGAGCATGCAAAGACTGGAAATCTTATTTGGATACAATTTTGTCAAGTAGAATAGTCGCATAACATGGTTATCTTTTTTTCTTGAAGTGCCTATCAGAATAATGACATCACTGAATTTGAGAAGATTCTGAAAACAAATCACAGCAACATCATGGATGATCCCTTCATAAGGGAGCACATTGAAGGTATGTTCACAAGCGGTGTCCCTTCCAGCCCTACTCCTCTGTGATTCTTTTCCCCTCCATTGTTAGTTATGTTCCTCAAAGTTTTTATTGCTTATGAACAGTGCAGTTATTATTCTAAAGCTTTTTCTTGCTCTCTTTGAAGTCAGGGCCCAATCTAACACTGATTGGTGGAATAATTGCATTAACTTGAGTGTACATTGGATCTCAAGTCCTTTAAACTTCACTATGAACTTGAACGAAAGCAAGATCAGAAACTTCTAAGATTGTATATTGCATGATATTAGTTTCTAAGTATTTTGTTTTTTTTTTCTTTTGTCTTTAGGGTGAAATGTTAAATGGGGGATCCCTTAGATAATCATAGATGCTAGGATCAGAAGGGACCTCAACAGGTCATCGAGTCTGACCCCCTGCCTAGGCAGGAAAAAGCGCTGGGGTCAGATGACCCCAGCCAGCAGATGACCCCAGCCAGATGTCTATCCAGCCGTCTCTTAAAGACCCCCCAAGGTAGGGGAGAGCACCACCTCCCTTGGAAGCCCATTCCAAATTTTGACCACCCTTACCGTGAGAAGTTTTTCCTGATATCTAGTCTAAATCTGCTTGGGGTAACAAGGAACAGTTTGTGACCACTGTTCCTTGTTACCCCAAGAGGCGCCCTGGTGAACAGAGCATCTCCAATCCCTTGCTGCGTCCCCCTAATGAATTTGTAGGCAGCCACAAGATCACCTCTCAGCCTTCTCTTGCGGAGACTGAAGAGGTCCAGGTCCCTCAGTCTCTCCTCATAGGGCTTGTCCTGTAAGCCCCTAACCATATGAGTGGCCCTCTTCTGGACCCTCTCAAGTCTATCAACAAAACCTTCTTGAAGTACAGCGCCCAAAACTGGACGCAGTACTCCAACTGCGGTCTGACCAATGCCGCATAGAGGGGCACCTCCTTGGTTCTATTTGTCATGCATCTGCTGATGCATGATAAAGTGCAGTTAGCTTTGCTGATGATTTCGTCACACTGACGACTCGTGTTCATCTTGGAGTCCACTATGACTCTGAGATCCCTTTCCGCTTCTGTGCTGCTGAGAGGGTCACTTCCCAGCCAGTAGGTGTGCCGGATATTTTTGCGCCCTAGGTGCAGCACTCTGCACTTGTCCTCGTTGTAGTGCATCCTATTGTGTACTGCCCACTTTTCTAACCTGTCCAGGTCTGCCTGCAATCGTTCCCTACCCTCCGGAGTGTGCACTTCACCCCACAATTTAGTATCATCTGCAAACTTGGACAGAGTACACTTCACACCCACGTCCAAGTCACTGATGAAGATATTGAAGAGTACAGGTCCAAGGACCGAACCCTGTGGGATCCCACTACTCACATCCTTCCAGCTCGATACCAGCCCGTCTACTACCACTCTCTGGGTGCAACCGCTAAGCCAATTTGCCACCCACCGGACCGTGTAAACATCTATGTCACAGCCTCTTAATTTATTTATGACAATGGGATGAGATACTGTATCGAAGGCCTTGCTAATGACATCCACCTCTACTCCTGCATCTAAGCATTTTGTGACCCTATCATAAAATGAAACCAGATCTGTCAGGCATGATCTACCTGCTACATATCCATGCTGGTTTCCGTGCTGCATTATTTTTCCTGCTGGACTCCCACAAATGTGATCCTTTATAATCTTTTCAAAGACCTTTTCAACGATGGAGGTGAGACTGACTGGCCTATAATTACTCGGATCCTTCTTCCTCCCCTTCTTGAAAATAGGGACCACATTGGCCCTTTTCCAGTCCTCCGGGACGTGACCCGAGCACCACAAGCACTCAGCCAGCTGTGCCAGTGGTTCTGCTATGATACCGGCCAATTCCTTCAGTACCTCAGATGCAGCTCGTCCAGGCCTGCTGGCTTGAACACATCCAGTCCATCCAAGTGACTCTGCACCAAGTCAGCGTTGACAGTTGGTAGGCTGGTGTCCCTCTGATGCCCACCTAAGAACCCACTAGGAGACTTACCTTGAGTCCTGTTCAGGAACACTGAGGCAAAAAACTCATTGAATAGCTCAGCCTTGTCCCCCGTGTCTGTCACTAATTGCTCCCCCTTGTTCAGTAGGGGTCCTATGCTGTCCTGAACCTTCCTTTTACTCCCTACATACCTAAAAAAAGACGTTTTGTTGTCTTTAATTTGTGTTGCCAGCCTCAGCTCTGCAGTTGCTGTGGCCCATCCACCCTCCTCTTGAAGACCCCCAGGGTAGGGGAGAGCACCCCCTCCCTTGGGATAGCTTCCCCCTGCTTCCACCTCCTATATGCCTTCTTTTTTGCCCTTAGGCTCCCCTGGATTTCTCTGTTTAACCGAGGAAGTTGTTTGGCTCCTTTCCCCCTTTTCCCTCGTACAATGATAGTCTCCCTCTGCTCCCAAAGGATCGCTTCCTTTAGGAATGACCACCCTCCCTGGACTCGTATCTCGCCAATACTCTTCTCCTGCAGTGCGTCATTGACTAGGCTCCTAAGCGCGTGGAAGTTAGCCTTCCTTAAGTCAAGCACTTCTACCTTACTAGTCATCTTACCCATCCTACACCATATGGTGAATTCAGTTGATTGGTGGTCAGTGTCCCCAAGGTGACCACAAATCTGCAGCTCCCTTACCAGGTCCTCCCCCATGGCCAACACCAAGTCCAGTAAGGCATTGCCCATAATGGGACCATATACTTCCTGCATTAGGTGAAGGTCCTGCACGCAGGTTAAGAACCTATGTGAACGGTTGGATTTGGCTGACTGCTTCTCCCAGCAGATGTCAGGGTAGATTTAGTCCCCCATGATAACCACATCCCTAGACTGTACAGCTTCTGAGAGCTGCCTTAAGAATTCCAAGTCTAGCTTTTCTTCTTGGTGTGGTGGTCTATAGCAGACCCCCACCACCAAGTCCCTTTCCCCATGACCTCCATGTATTGTAATCCACAATGACTCAACTTTCTCTTCCTCTGATCCCATTTTGATTAGGGTAGATGTATAATGCTCCTTTACATAGAGAGCAGCCCTGCCCCCTTTCCTCCCTACTCTATCCCTTCTGTACAACCCGTAGCCCTCAATGTGTACCACCCAGTCCTGGGTAGGGTCCCACCAGGTTTCCTTTAACCCCACTAAGTCTAAATTATTATCTGCAAGCAGAAGTATGAGTTTTTCCTGCTTGTTCCCCATGCTCCTAGCATTAGTATAGAGGCCCTTGAGCCCTCCAAATGGTGCCTTTGATGCCCCCCCATTCTGACGCCCAAAGGGCCCCTTAGTATTTACCTGGGGTGTACTGCTGCATGTCTCTCAGTTTGTAGGTTCTAGACTCTCTCCATCTCCTGCCTCCCCGTCCCCCATCATATTTAGTTTAAAGCTCAACATAGGAGGCCAGCCAACCATTCTATAAGAAAAGACTCCTTACCTTTTGTGGAGAGATGAAGCCCATCATGTCCCAGGAAAGAGATTGTGGAGAGATGAAGTCCATCGCGTCCCTCATACATTTTATATTTCAGCATATCTCCTGTTAGTGAGAATTATTTTCTGTTTTGATGGGAATCTTTGAATCTAAGCCATGTAATCTGTAAACAATGCAATGATGGCTGCATTTGTAACTATTCAGTAATAAAAAGAATTTAAGAAGATTAAAGTAATTGAATGTGATTTTTTTTTTTTGTACATGTACTAAAGTACAAACCAGAGAAGTATGTGGAACCACATGATGTTCTGTCACTTGCTGGTAATATAATATAATATTAGCAGCCTTCACTACTGAAAAATATTGCCCATGTTTTCAAATAATTTGTCTCCCCCCTAGGAGTGCAATGTGCATCCTAACTTGGACAGATCAGTTAGATGGATATTTGGCAAATGTGCAGAGCAATATGGAAAAGGAGGGAAGTGGCTGCAGGAAGTGCCTTACACTTCCATTTGGCTGAAGAAGAGGAAGGGGTTAACAGAGAGAGAACTTGGAAATATGTAGCACCTCTGTTGCTGTTTTGCATTAGCTATGGTCTCTGAGGTCTTTTTAGGAAGATAAGTTTACTCCTGGGGGCTTGGGGAAGAGGGGAATTGGGAGATGAAAGAGAGCATGGTAGAACTAGGGCCTGGAGAGAGTTTGGCAGTTTCATAGCCCGAGAAATGCCAAATCTTATTCCTATGAAATGCAGCTTCTCTCTTTGCTCCTATTTGCCCTCCTTTCATTTGAACCCCTCAAGTTACTATTTCTAGTCAAAGAGGTAGCTGTATTACCATTCTGTATTGCAGTATAAACACTTCTCATGCTGAACTACCACTCCTGAATTGGACTAAGTAGTTCAATACAGATAGCATAGTTCAGTGGCTCCCAACCTTGGGGCACAACCCAAATCAGGGTGGCGGGGGGGTCTGCCCCTGCCTCCACCTCTCCTGCCTGTGGGACTCTTCAGGTGCACGGTCCACTCAGCTCTCGCCACCGCTGCCCCCCGCGATCACAGCCTGGCCGGGGCTCTGCTGGCGCTGCCGGGCATGAGTGCGTCAGCAGCGGGGGTGGGGGTCATGACCAGGATTTAGGGTTGCAGGAAGAAAAGATTGGGAGCCATGGTACAGGTAGAGGTTTGAGGATCTTTTTTTTCTTCCAGCAACCAGTATTCTACAGCTAATTACAATGTATATTCATGTACGTTGTTTTATTCTTAACTTGGTACACCCTGTTTAGTTGATCATATTTATTAGTTTTACTCAGATAATTCTGCTTTTCAGTTTGTTTTATAGGAGTACTCCCTGTAGTAGTCAATAAGAGCAAAGTACTAAATGCACTAGTCCTATAATTTACAACATTAATGAGAGATTTTTTTTTCCTTTTGCGAAAACAATAGTTGCACATAGTAAAAGGAGCAAAATGCAACCAAAATGAATAAGTAAAAATTATGAGAAAGAGGTCTTGAGCCAAATCTATGCAAGTCAGCAAAAAGACTGCAGATGTCTTCGATGAATTTTGGATCAGGCTCCTACTGAAGGAAAACTTCATCTTCATGCTGCCATGATCGTACTGCTGGTCTGCATTCAGTGCCTGTCCTTCTCCTGTGTTGCATTAAAGGCCATGGTATAGGGATGCCATACCCCATTTCACTCAAACTATTTTTAATTCATATGCCAGAAGCAGTGAGAGTATATGTTTTAGAATCGCTGTGTTAGATCTTTACCACCAAAGGATCATCTTTAGTCTGAAATGATCCTCCTTTGGCTAGTTCAGAGGGCTTTACAATCAAATCAGATGAACAGTATAACGAAATGTGACTGTGTGGCGCTGGAGGATCTGACCTATTATGCCATTAATTGTCACTAGTTATAAATACAAAATATTGTCCAACATTTTTAGGATTATCTATTGGTTTTCAAACGTTCTTGTGAAAATTTAAAATGATGGATTATGTGATAAATAACTATGCAGTAGTAAAACAGTGAGATGACTGAATGAGTGCATCTCAAATTTTAAAATGAACAGCAAACTTCTGTGATTTTTTTTTTTTACATGCATATTTCATTTGTAGCTTATTGAACTTGCAGGTTAATGAGAGAGTCACAGAAATGTTACCAGCTAGGTAAGATTAGGTAGTCTCTATAGCTAACAGCAACTCTCACAAATCCATGTCTCATGTCCCCTTATACCACTGGAGCCATCCTACTATCTTCAAGACTTCACTAGGACTACTCATGCTTTAAGTTAAGCTTGTGTACGTTTGCATCTTCAGTTTCTCCATCTCTTTACACTTTGGCAGGAGACAGGTGTTAAAGTAGCAAAGTGGCAATGCAGAGCTACTGTGTATTAAATATTCTGTACTATTTATCGAGTCTCTTAAAATTATTTAAAACGATTTACAAAGGAATAAATTATTTTCAGGTCTCCTGCCAGTAACCAGGGTACGTGCTGTGCAACAATTTGTGGGGAAAAAAAGATTTTCCGTAGCATGGAAGCACTCACTGGTCTGTTATATCGTAGTCAAGAAATGGCTAAAGACAAAAAAATATATATATTACATGTTTGCTTGTTTGAATGCTAACCTTGGTTTTATAATGTTTGTTTGTTTGTTTTCTTTTCTTACAGAGCTTTTGCGAAACATCAGAACACAAGTGCTTATAAAATTAATTAAGCCTTACACAAGAATACATATTCCTTTTATTTCTAAGGTACTTGCCGTAGAAATTTTGCATTTGCTTAAGTGAATGAGTTATGAATAATATATCTCACTCCCCTCTAAATGGAACAGCCTTGTCAAGAATGGACTCCTGACATCACAGGCAAGCTCTCCAGCCAGAGGACACTAGAGGGCTGCTCCCTGAACCACCCCTGCAGTTAGAGAAGCACATTGACTGCCTGCCCTCTCCCCTACCTGGGCAAGGGATGAGCTGTCAAATGGACCAGCTAGAGAAGGTTCCCACCCCAGGAGACAGACTCCCCTCCTGCAACCCACTCCCCATCTCATCAATTGGCTGATGGGCAGGACAGGGGCCATTCTCCTGGGCTGACCCAGAAGAGTGCAGGGAGATGTGGGGTGGGACGACACTGAGTTGCTGTGGCAAGGCCCCAGGAGCCTAGTGACAGGGGTACAGCAGCTTTCCTTATCCTGTTCTGCTCCAGGCTGACCCAAAGCAGTGTGGGGCAAGGTGATTTTGCTGCAGTTGCAAGACCCCCAAATGTGAGAGAACAGCAATTCTGGCCAGTGTCTTGTAGAAACTGGTACATTTCTACAAGACATGACTACTTGGCTAATACCATGACAAATTTCTAAGCTGTTCAGCTGAATATATTTGACTTAGTATGCAGAAAATCTCTTCTTAGAGGAAATATAAACATTTGAACTTGCATAATTCCACTAAAGCAACTGCAATAAATTATGAGTCAGAACACATGAACTAAAATAAAATTACAGGTAGTGTATCCCTTCTTGCTCAGTCGGTTTCACTAGCATTCAGTGTTGTCAATATAAAGATTGAAAGGGAATGGAATTATAAAACAAAAGAATAGATTATAAAGCCAGAAGGGACCAGAATTGCTATTCTCCTAATACAGACCAAAAGCGTGCAGATGTTCAGGCTTTTTCTCCCAAAGACCGTTGCCTAGTCTGACCTGTATAACAAAATAATATGAATTGAAGAAATATTGAAGTAAATATTTCTGTTTCTTGTGAAGGAAAAATATACTTTAAAGATTGTGTTTTCCTTGAAGAATTTGGCAGCATTCTAAAACATATGTAGTAGTAGTTTATTTACAGACTTTTTGCTAAAACAATATGAAGAAATTGACAATAAAAGTATATAATACTAAAATAATATATATTTATGGTTATTGGTAAAATCGTAAAACAAGGTAATACCATTCTGCCAATCTAAAAATTAAAATAGAGCATAGTATATGATGATACAAAATAGATAAAATGAAGAAGTATAAAATCTTGGAGTAAGATTAAAAAAAACAAGGAATTCTTTTTGATTATGGTGCTTGCTCTTTGTGCAAATAACTCCAATATAGCTAGGAAGTATAGGACAGGTTGTAAGTTGTCAGAGAGCAGCTTGATTTACCTCATTAGTCCAGCATTTAAAATTTTCCTCTAATGTAGAGCTCCATTTTTATTTTATTTTCAAAGAATGAACAAGGCCACAAATCACTTCTTTCCTGGCAAGAGCATACCGTGTCTGTATATGGGATCTGATACCACCTACCCATGACAACTCCAGATATGAATTTTAGTCTAGTAATGGTCTTTTGTTGTTTGTAGTTTTATGTCATATAGGTCTCTAGGCCAAAAGAGTGCTTTATTAATCTCAAAAAGGAGAAGTTCAAGAGAATCTGATGGCTTGCTTATCTGTTTGCATGCTGACATCTTTAATTTGGTTTATAATGAAATATTAGGAAAGAGCTCAACTTAGTTTTTGTGATTTACCTAATAAAACCCTTAAGGATTGTGATAAATTGAAATCCATTTTAGTATAGCTTCTTAAAGTACATACCATTTGCACAGAATTAACTCTTGCAAACCTTAGTTTCAGCCAGGAATTCCATTAGTGCTTATTTTTGGCCCTCTGCACAAATGTTTGAAAACTATGCTTATTCCTTTCCAAGGCATCGTACAGACATTCAGGTTTTCCTGGGAGAGTTGCTGCTGTCTCAGGAGAAACCACAGGTATACAGACGTTTGGGCTTTTTCTCCCAGGATAAAAATGGCCACTTCCAAGAGAAAAATAACCTGGGAATACCCAGGGTTAAATCATTACCAGGAGAGTTTCTCCTGGGAGAGCAAATGTCTATAAATGCCATGGCTTCTTTCAGAAGAGAACGTAGTCCTCCAGTTTCTCTCTCTCCCTCCCCCCTTCCCTCCCACTCCCCACCTCTCTTAGGGAGACAGTGTGCCACTTGCTGGAATCTGCTGCTCCAGAACCCTCTCTCTTCATAGTCCCCACATTTTACTGCAGGGAAATGCAGGCTAACCGTGAACAGTCTATGTCTGCCAATTAGGACTGCCCTATGCACCGCTGCAATCTGTCGCCAGGCAAACTAAGGAAGCCTGCAGAGCATACTGAGATGTGTGCACATTAAAATATTTAATGTTGAAAAATAGTAGAATGGCAATATAACTAGATTTTTTTTCTTCCTTAGGAATTAAACATAGATGTAGCTGATGTGGAGAGTTTGCTTGTGCAGTGCATATTGGATAAGTATGTACCTTCTATTTCTGATCACTGAAATGTTTAAAAATATAGTGTAGAGGATGCAGCAGACAGTGTGTGTATTTCTCACCTTTTGATCCTATAGCAATGAGATAATGTGTTTGCTGATCATATAGGGCTGTTAGGAAAAGTTGAATCACATTTGAAAGATGTGAGCTCAGAATAGTTGCAATTATGTTGAATGGCATGGTTTTATGTTCATATTGAATTCTATAATAGCATGTAATTGGATCAGTGTGTCAAATTTGGAAATCTATATTCTTATAAACTAGTGGTCATATCTGTAAAGGTTGAGATTTTCAGAGCTGATGAGAGGTTTTAGAGAGAGGTTTCATGCTAATTATAATAGAAATTGTATCTAGCACTGTTAGTTAATTTTCAGACTTTGACCATAGCTTGTAAGATATTCATTTTTTTAACTTGACTAATGGAAATTCAGTTATTAAAGAAAAGAAACCTTGTTCCTGTTTTCTGGGGCAGCCTCTGTTTGTGGCATGGGGCAGGTTGGGGAGGAGGCAGGAAGCAGAACAGTAGATCAGGCAGGGGAAGAGGATTCAAGTGGCACTGAGAGGCTACAGGGATTAATTTGTGGCACACCTATCAAGGTTGGCTCCCACTCTTTTAACGGAATTATTCACATCAGATTTCCATTCAAATTAATTTGCATACCTCCTAACCAAGCATGCTCTCTCTCAGTGATCTAAGTCTCCACTTGTTTGTGTTAGGAGAGATATCTGCAGTTTACCTTTATTCATGATGGTTTCCCGCAGGACAATAGCTGTGCAGATGTTGAATTCCTGGGCCAGTCAAATGACTCTGGATATCTATCACTTGCATTTGTTGTTTATTTAAGTTCTGAATCATACTTATTTCAGATATTTAATGTGTACTAGAGGTTATTCATATTCACTTGTCTGTTTATTTAATTCTAGCACTATTCATGGCCGAATTGATCAAGTCAACCAGCTCCTTGAACTGGATCATCAAAAGAGGGGTGGTGCACGGTATACTGCATTAGATAAATGGACCAACCAACTAAATTCTCTCAACCAAGCTGTAGTCAGCAAGTTGGCTTAACAGAAAACAAGCTTTCACAAAATGTACTTAAAGCAACAGTGCAGAGATGTAAACCTTAAAAGAACTGGGAATGGCAAAACTACTGTCGGTTGGTGTGCCCTGAAATTATTGGAGTTATGGCAGAAGTGCTTTTTTGATCAGCTGGTTTGTGTTTTGCTGCTGCATTTATCCCAAGAAAAACAGCTTTAATCTCCAGAAGAAAACCAAAATGCCATGGGATTTATGCTGTATTGACATCTTGCCCTAAACATACAACATCCTAGTAATCTGTCGAGGGCAACTAATGACCAGAGAGAAGATTTTTGTCATGATTTTAAATACACTGACATGTTACTGTTGGTTAAATTTAAACATGTTTTACCTTCAGAAATTCTCTCACAGAAATAACCTGCAATAACTTGAAATGCATACCCTTTTGAACACTTCCTTTTCTCATGTATAAATTGAAATGTTTGCTGCATTTTGCAAAATGTCAATTCTCCAAAAATGTGTCCGTATATTTCTGTACCTGCAGTGTAGTAAAAGTTTAGAAGAAACCCCGTAATTATAGTGGCATACTGTCACTTAGGTTTCAAGCAGCAAAATAAACAGTGCAGTTCAGAAATTGTACAACTTGTTTCTTGATGTTTTTTCATGACATCTTGTTGATTTTTAGAAAAGTAGGTAAGTGAGTGTTCTTTTGCCCTTGCTCCCAATTTAATGGAGATATTGTGGAGATTAAATCTTAACCTTGGTATGCATGCTATTGATTTTTTTTTTTTTTTTTTACAGTAGTTAAATACAATTATTACGGAGTTTAAGAGCTGGTTTCTAGCAGTCTTGCTGGCATAAAGCTTTATTTTGAGAGATGCTGGGCTCTTGCTAATCCCATTGTAACCAGTGTTGGTAGGTGCTCTCTAGTTCCTTATTTTGATCTTGGCATTTTAAATAAATGTTTGCTAGGCTATGGCTTGGGGAAAATTCAGAATGCCATTGCTAACTTTGTGCCTTGTTAAACTAGATTTATGTTCTTCTTTGGCTCTGAATTCAGTTGTAGTTCTTTTATATAAACAGTAAACCAAAGTTCAGGAGCAGCACTGGGATTTTGGCAGTATGGGAGTAGAATATAGGCTTTTTGCAGGGGGAAGATTCCAGCCCTTCCAAATCTCCGATGGGCTACAGTGCAGTCCCTTCACAGACAGTACTGAAGCCCTTATGAGCACAGCATAATTCCCTTCTGTGCCCTGGGAATCTTGGACCATCATATCCATTTAAGTATGGACCTGGAGTAGCATCCAGACAGTCTGCCATAACAGATCTCTCTGGCAGCCTGATGGAGCTAGCACAAATCCAATGCTGCAGTACACTGAGGATATGGAAATCTTCCCACGCTGGCCTCTTTTCTCACACCTTCACCTATTGCATTCAAGGTTTAAATGGTGCAGGCATACTTATCCTAAGGGATATATATATTTTAAAGCAATAAATACCTGAAGAAATATAAAATTAAAACAAATTCAAATCTTAAATATGGAGAATATTAACAGATGGCAAATGCCATGTGGCTTTCTATGTGGAAAGGAGTGGAATACCAGCTGGTAAAATAATGTAGAACAGCTTTTAAGTAATAATGACCGGAAAGCTTTGAGAAGAACGTTGCAATTTTTGGGTACTAATCTCACGGACTTAAAAAATTAGGACTTTTACTGAATTTTGGGGGGTCTTAAAATGTATAGGATTTTTTTCTTTGTATAATATGTACAGTATTTTTATTATCAGTATGGGATATTCTCAAAAACAGAAGGGTAACATAAATTCTCCACTTCGTTGAATTTCAGGTAATTCTAAGTTTTTTGTTCAGATGATCGAGTTCAGGAAACTTAAAAAATCACTATTGAAGTACTAGTCTGGGCCTAAAAAGTTGAAGGTCATTGCTGATTTACATTAAGCATTTGTTGTGAATAGCCTTTGCTTGTAAGCCTGAATTACATGTAGAAAACTTACTTAGCAAAGCACCTGTATTTTTCTCAAAGAGTGAAAAACCAATTGTGATATTCAATTGAACTGGAAGAGCTGTGTATTTAGGGACAAAAAGGTGAAATGGTTTTTACAATTCCTTATTTGGGGAGGCTGTAATATTGGTAGAAAAAGGGTCCAGTGCCTGTCCTGAGCAGATACAGCATTCTGTAGGAGACTGCAGTAGATTGGGAAAAGTGATTTGCTGTGTTCTCTATGATTCCTACTAAGACAAACACAGCTGCCTGACAGTCGAATAAGTACCTAAAGTAAATTATATAAATAAACATTTCAGAAAGTAATTGTAATAGTATTTATTATATCACAGAGAAGTCTTCCAAATTACTGTAAGCAAATCCAAGTTGTGCCTTTTTAGTTGACTGTTTATCATTTAAAATCCTGTAGTTTGTTTCTTCTGGTCTGTCTATACAGATTTCTCCCCATTTAAAAATAGCACAGATTGGTTAAATAGCTTATTCATAGTGAGGCCAAGATGTTTATTTCAGATGACTCTCTCTCTCTCGCTATCTATCTATCTATCTATCTGTGGACTATCAACAAACTATAATTAAATTAGAATAGCAAAATTTTGCAGATAGCTGGTCTTGTAGACTAGGTTCTGTCAGTTTAAGTACTTAAATGGTATTCATCACTAAATTATTTGAGTGCCTCACAACATCCCTGCATGTTGCTGACCCAATTTATAAAACAGCAAACTGAGTTATAGTGTAGATTAAGACTAGCCCAAAATCCCACAGGTAGCCTGGGGTTTGAGCTGCAGTTTGTATCAGGTACAAATACCTTTCTCAATGCATTTTATTTAAAACCGCAAAGGGATTTGATTGGGCCTCTTCCTGGTTGTAACTAAAATGTATTGAAATGATTAAATTATTTTTAAAAGATCAGCTACCTAGCACATGCACAGAATTACTCTCAATCTATAGTTTTGATGTACAGCTGTAGTTCCTTTGCATTTATAAAATAAAACTAAGTTCAGGATTTCCCCCAAGTAATGTGGGGCTGAATTTTAATTTGCAAGTTTCCTTTTCTGATAGGCTTTAGCCAATGCATTTGTTTTAATCTACTCAGTCATGTAATATATAGTGAGTATAAATTGCATTTGCTTCCTGTTACAGGCAAAGTCCTTTTCATGTTCATTCAAAGTATCTTTAGATAACACTATTGGAGGTTTTGTTCTCATTACACAATGGGCACATCTACATGTGCACTTCACTGTGCATTAGCCTATTTTAATGTACATTTAAGCATCACTAAAAACATGCTATTTAGTTAATGCACTTTAAAATAAGCTAATGCATATTTTCCTAGTACCTCACAATGCAGGGCACTTTTACACGTGCTCCAGGGCTGCTGGGGGAGGATGGGCGGCACTTTAATTAGAGAGACTCTCGGAGCTACTCTAATTAAAGTGCTGCAGCATCTCATGTATCAACGTCCCCATGTTTCAAAATGGCAATGGGGGCACTTGAACTAAAGGTCATTCGATAAGCTTTAGAAAAAGTGCCCCTACCACCATTTTAAAGCATGGGGATGCTGATACAGAAAACACGGGAGGCTGCTGGAGTGTGGTAATTACCACACTCCAGTAGGTTCAATTAGAGTCTGATTAGATTAATCGAGTCTGCTCTGATGTGCTGTAATTACTAGACGATTACTACTCCGCGCTATAATTACTAGATTTAATGAGCATTAACTAAAGCTTCTTAATGCATGTATAGATGTGCCCAGTATGGTGTTTTGTTTTTTTTGTTTTTTTTACAATTTGGTGGCCTGTATTATTTACATTAAAAAATTCCATTAAAAATCTGAAAATACTCATTGTATTAAGCTCTGCCAGGGAGCAAGTGCTTGTAGTTTGGGAACTGTACTTAGCTAAAGCAAAGTGCAGTTCCCAAACACTGGGCACAGTGTTTATTACACTGGGCACAATTACATCTATTAATATTATTAATATAGATGTAATTGTGCCCAGTGTAATAAACAGGTCACTTAGTAAGTCCTGGGGCTCATTTGTGTAAATCTAGAGGCATCCCTACAACATTGATTCCCTTTGCAGAGCTTCTCTTCCCAAAACAATATGAAAGACATGCTGAGGTGTGCTATTACTGGCGCCCTTCTCTGTCACTCTTTTACATTTCCCCAAACAGCAGGAGGGAACAACTTCACTCCCCCTTCTCGAAAGGAGCTAAGAAGCTTCAAATAGATGTTAATGCTGCTTAAATGATCAGTTTTTCCCTGCATAGCCCAATGAGCCTTTTCTGATCCTGGGAATTTATTGGGCAGGAGCTTTGAGAATTCTCAGGCAGGAAGGTAGAATACAGTAAATCTTGCTTCTGGAGTACCCTTTGTGCTCAGTCATGTGCTGTTTTTCTGCCCTCCATTCACTGAACCAGAGTTGAACATTTGCTCCAAATCCGTGCATTTTTGCACAAAAATAATACCCAGCTAGACTGTAATATTATAAACAGCTCTGTGTCATGCCTATCAGCAGAATATCTTAGGGTACAGCTATACTTTCACCATAGCAAGCTGGCAGCACAACCAAGAAGCATACCTTACCTACTTTGGTATTCAGTACACAACAAAGCCAAGACATTAGGTAGTGTAGCTAGTTTAGTGCAACCCTGAGCATGTCTAGAACTACTTCTGGATGCTGTCTTAGATGTGCTGCTGCTAGGCTTTGAAATATAGGAACAGACTGTCCCCATATCCAACTTTAAAGAAAATACAGGAGGAGCAGCAATGTGTGGGTCTAAAGCAGTGGTTCCCAAACTTTTTTGTACCACGACCCATTTGTAAACATTGGGCAGTCCCACCCCAGTGCCTCTCACTCCTGACCAACGGCCCCCAGGCCCCCAGTGTGTGTGGGAGGGAGCAGGAGAAAGGGGAACATGGAGGGGCCCATGCAGCCCCTTGCAAGCTGAAACTCTGGCAGCCTGCAAGGGAAAAGCCAGTTTCCCATGTTTTTCTCCTTTTAAAGGAGAATCCATTTTAAAAGTTTGTTGTTGACCCTTTCATATATTCTTGTGACCCACAGGTTGAGAAACACTGGTCTGAAGTACTACAGCAGCTGTCAGACTTCTGGGTAGGCAGAAGGGGCAGTAGAGGAAGGTTGCCTGATCAAAAAGTTCATGTTGTATATCACATGTTTTACCATAAAAGTCTTAGCATTATATAGGTCATATCTGAATTAGTCTGTATCTGAATTCTTGCCAGAAAAATAAAATGTTATTGCCAAAAATAAAATTCAAATTAAATTGTATCCCTGTCTTAGCCTAGGTCTGTCTGGAATGTTGGCATTCCT